AAACAATGTCACGTAATGTCACATTTACCTCAGAAAAACAGATTCAGTGACCAAGAACTCATTAGTCAGATAGAAAAATAAACTGTAGAGAGGGGCATTTTGCTAAATATATGCACCATATAACATATTCATTATACATTTTTACTGTTCTTCAATGTTTAATTTATGTTTGAATAAATACATCAAGTTTTTATGACAGCCACCATTATGTTCATATATAAAAAAACTGAAGTAGAAATATTATTATGTAATTGTAACTTTATTATTTTAAAAACTTCATTAAGTGATTCTTAAATCCCAAGAATCGATTATTCTAGCTTGTTTTCAGTTAATGGACAGAAGTTTGAAGGGTACCTCCCATCCAATATATCGCAAAAAGCATTGTGCTTTGGTACTTTTAATATGAAACAAAGTCTCAGATTTCAAATTCTGTCCATTGAATTGCAGTATTTAAACAATAAATGCCGTTTTGGTGCTGTTTAATGTGGAGTAGCAGACTTCTGTTGTTTCTCTCCCCACAAATCCACCAAAGCTCAGAGTGAGCAGAGTGAGGAGGAGCAGGACACTGGTGTGTCTCCATCCAGGAGCTGTACTGATGATACATCAACATGAACATCAAAAGGTCTATTAATCGTTGACACACATCACCATCACATTATACAAATGCAAATAAATACGTTTTTTCCACTACATGTGATAAATGTTTTAACATAGTTTGAAAAAAAAGTAAATATTTCAAGTAAGAACTTTCCCTTAATGAAAAAAATAATATAAGTATGTAATACTTTATTGATATTATTTGATTAAAAACCAGCTTTTGGTTGATATTGCTGTCTTTAGATCAGACGTCTCTGCAGGACGTCTTCTGTAGAGGACAATGATCATCAGGAGTCTCCTTCCAGTGCTCCTGAAGACCCCTCACTGCCGAGGAGCAGCAAATACAGGACGTCCAGCCTCAAGATCAGGACAGTCCAGTCAGTCCTTCAGCAGATGAGTCCTTCACATCTGAGACATCTGGACTGTGACGAGATCACGAGGAGCGAGGGTGAGTTTACTGTCATAACCCAAATATACTATAACACAACCTCTTAAGCAGTGGTTCCCATATATATATATATGTATACACGTTATACTAATAATATTACAAGGTTTAGAAATGCACATTTGACAGTAGCTTGAGTTGAGAGTAGCAGGAGCATGAGTTGGGATGCAGATGTACATTTATTTTCATTAACAAAAACAGTACCTGTTTCTGTGAGTATCTGTATCTGTGAAAATTATAACAGCC